GATTTTCAATTTACAGGATAAAAGTAAGTATTCTAAAATATTAGTAACTGCATATCCGAGGAAGGGAATTATGAGATTTTTAAGGTTCCCTATTACTATGTTTTCTAAATTATCAGATTTTGGATAAAGAACCAAGGAGCTTTTAAAGTTAAAAACACATGGGTTCTTGCACTGGAAGTATCTCTCGAATGACCTAAATCAATTATATGCATTGCCTGTGCTTGCCGATGCAATGTGGATTCGTTGAGACTGGCAGAGATGATGCTGACTATTTTTGTTCTCACCTGTTCACTGTCTCTTCCCAAGGTCCCCTTAAAGGCCTTTGCTTTAGCCTTTAATTTCTCTTCTGTGGTTGTAGTGATAGGTGTTCAGCTGCTCTCTTTCTGTCTTTCCTATATTATTTCCCTCTCCTGAAATGCTCACATCCAAGTTCCTATTACAGGGTTAACAACAGTGACCTCAGGAGCTAGCTACTGTGGACATAATGGATGCCCTCTATAAAAGGGCACTGGCAGAATGTGTACTTAATAGCTGCTCTGGAGCCACAGAGGGCACTGGGAATAACCTCTGCTTATGACCATAGCCTGCTTCTCAGCTATCTTAAAGTGTCTCATTTTGCAGAGTGCTGGGCACATGGGTCAAATGTAAGTGAAAGTGAATAGTAACATACAAATCATCATTACCACATGCAAATTAGCATGAGGGTTCTGACAGTGTAGGTCCTCTGTGAGGAGTACTAGCCAGTTGAACGTCACTCGAAATGATGAGTCACCAAATTTTAGACTTGTTTCTCTGTAGACAGAAAGCAGAGGGTTGGGTAGATACATACAGACAGCATTTGGGAACTACTGGAAGATGTTCTAAGGAGAAAGAAGCAGAATTGGGTACTGGAACCAAGATATTTGATGGCAGACCTTGAAGTATTTGGAGCTTTGGGATCAGGAGTTAGAATGCAGTTGAGCATACACATGAGTGACAATTGGTCAAACGTCCAGAAATAAACTGTTCATGAGAAGTTTATGGACTCTACACATAAGAAAAATAAAGCAACGTTCAGCAAAAGATTACCAACTAGAAAATGTTATAAATGCTATGTAGAAAACACACAATATTTTGTCCTTGAAAAATTTTCATGTTAGTCTAATAAAATTCTAACGCAAAAAAATGACATGACTAAAATACATCAGAAAAGATAACCATGCTGATTATAAAGAATGTGTTAAAGTTTACAGCAATAAATGTGAGCTGTTTCTACTATTAAGGCTGAACTTTGTGATGCACTCACTTGTATTACTCCCAGCTGCCTTTTTACGGGTATAAAAATAGTCTCTTGCCACAAGAATCACATATAACAATTAGGAATACAGGGGGATGGAGACATGGCTCATTGGTTAAGCTGCTGTTGCAGAGGACCTGGGTTCCATTCCCAGCACCCACATGGCAAGAAACAATTGTCTGTCACTCCAAGTCTAGGGGTCCTGACACTTGCCGTCTTCTGCCTTCCTTAGGCACTGCACACACATGGTGCACTTACATACATGTAGACAAGAAATTCATACACATAAAAAGGAACACATGAAAAAAAGTTCGTCAATATTGTTTAAAAGTGAAAACTCATGCCTTTAATCCCAGTACTCAGTTGGCAGAGGCAAAGGGATCTCTGTGAGATTGAGTCCAGCCTGATCTCTGTCTCAGAAAACTAAAACAAGCAAAAATTGACAATTTAAAATTGCTCCAAAACACACATAGTAAGAAATTATTAGGCTGCCATTTAAAATGATGCTAAAACAATAATTAAATAATTAAAATAATAGTCATGTAGCACACTATTACAAAGAATAGAAGGCTGTATAATCCTCCCCAGGTTCCTCAATCCCCTCCTCACATCCTCAGCTCTGGCAACTACTGATTTGATTTCTGACATTACTATTCATTCTATTTTCTAGAATATTATGTAATTGGAATTATATAACAGACAGCATTTTGTGTCTGAGTTCTTTTCTTTAGAAGAATGCTTCTGAGAGTCATCCTTGTTATTGTATGTATGAGACATTCTTTTTAAATGCTAAACTGTATATTCCATTAGTTAAATCTATCACTACCAGTTGGCACACATGTGAGTTGTTTCCACACTTTTGCTTATGAAAAACAAACTATGAGCATTTGTGTATAAGTCTTTCTGTTGGCATGTTTTCATTTCTCTTGTACCAGTGTCCAGAAGCTAGAGCACTGAGTCATGTTGAAAGTGCACGTTTAGCTGTATAAGAAATTTCCAAACTGTTGGGAAAAGTGGCTATGGTACTCTGCATCACCACAAGCCATGTAGAAGAATACATTTTTTAAAAGTAATCATAAAAATTACTATTATGAAGTATTTAGGGTATGTGGTCATTCTGACTCCATAAATAGTTCTCATATAATTAAATTGAATACTTAGAGAACAAAGACAAGAGCCTTTGCCTCTTTATCTTGAGTACAATGGAGAACTCCTCTAAAGCTTTGCTGGTTAAATGAGTTCTTCAGTTTTTTCAAGGTCCCTATCATATTTTAAAACTCAGGAGACTAAATTAATTGCAGATGGGTATTCCGATCCTTTGGAAGGGTTGAGTATAGAGAAGTAAGGAAAAATGGAGCCCAAATTATTAGTGTATATTATTGAATACTTGGTAAACACTAGACAGTTCTTGTATTAGAAAACATCTTGCAAAAATCAAAACATATTGTCTCTCAGCCAATCTAAATACCTAATATGGATATTGAATTACCATTCTACTATTTGTTCATTTTTTAAAATGTTTAACGCTAAGAAGTATATGATTTATTTTATGATATATATATATACCAAAAAATATTTTAATTTTATGAAAATATGAAAAATTTACATTCACTCTGAAAGTACATTTTAATAGACAATATATGTTATTCTATATACTTGTTTGAATATGTTTGAATACTCCTTAATTATTGAAAAATGAGTTACTGTCTCTAG